CTCACATCTCTGGATGGCCACCATCCAGCCAGCACACCTTCATGTGCCTGAGGGTGTAAACACACATGCAGTCCTGAGTCTAGATACAGTCACAATTGTGTGACCTCCAGGAATAACCTGCCCATGGTGGAAATGATGCAGGCTTCTGGCCAGCCACCTTTTTCTCCTAAGGGCAGATTTTGCAGATTCTGCTTCTGCTTCTGTGAAAACAGGAGGATGACACTTTGCAAAGGTGCTACCTCCAGCACAATTCCCTGCAGGGGAAGGACATGACAAGTGTCAGCACTCTCCCAGCTAGCACTTCTTCTAAGGAACAAATAAAATGGAGACCAGCAGACAGGCAATGAGAATGAAAGAGCTTGAGGGAGGGACTGAGAAAGTCATGGGCTCTGGTAGGGTCTCCGCAGGAATGTGTATCCCAAGAGAGCAGGAATATTGTGAGGTCAGAGCCTGCCATGGGGCAGGAAAACAGTGCCTCAGCTCACAAGGGCTGATGTAAGACTGGCAAAGAGAGGAGACAAGGGTCACTGCAGGTAGATAGAACAGATACCAGCCACCCAGCTGACTGTACCCAGCTTGGGAGGGCAGTGGATGGAAAAATGATGACAGAACTGATTGGATAAAAAGAAGATACTGAAAGCCTTCTTATGTGTGTGTGGCGATACCTTGATGCATGTACAATACATGACAATTCAAGTAGTAATCACAAAAATAGATAATTATGTATAATAATTATGGTTAACATGTACTGGTTTTTGTTTGTTGAGATAGTTTCCTGTATCCCAGGCTGGCGTATAACTCATTATGTAGCTGAAGATGACCTTGAGCTTCTGATGTTCCTCTTCCTCCAAGTGCTGGGATCACAGGCAAACATCACCATACCTGGCTTTATGTGGTACTAGGGATAGAACTCAGGACTTCATGCATGCTAGGCAAGCACTCTACTAACGGAGCTGCATCCCCAACCCTATAGCTGGTACATATTGAGGGCCAGGCACCATTGAAAGTACTATATATGTACTAACATAAAGTTCAAAGTTCAGAATCATTCCTCCAAAACAGGTTCCGTTATTATCAATACTCTGCAGAGGAGGAAACTGAGACACAGTAGTTAAGTGACTTGGCCAAAGCTGAAAAGTGGCAGAGCTGCAATGCCAAGTTCAAAATTTAAGCAATTTAGGTATAAAAATTAGTATTCGGGGCTGGAGAGATGGCTCAGCAGTTAAGAACACTGGCTGTTCTTGCAGAAGACCCAGGTTCAAATCCCAGCACCCACATGGCAGCTAACAACCGTCTGTAACTTCAGTTCCAGGGGATCCAACAGCCTCTTCTGTCCTCCGCAGGCACTGCACGACACAGGTGCACTTACCTACATGCAGGCAATACACGCATACACATAAAATAAAAATAATAATAAATAATTTTTTTTTAAATCAGTATTCTTCCCTTTTAGTTTCCTTTTCTCCCTCTTGTTTTATGGCACTGGGTTGTATCCAAGGTTGTCAGCTGTTTGCACTCCTCAGCCCTCTTCCCATCTTTCATTTCATACAAGGGCCCATAGTGACAGCACTACCCTCTTCCCAGAGACCTCAAAGTACCTGCTACACCCAACAAAAGACTGTCACCTTAGAGCCACATAACCCATCACCCTGGACTTGGCTTATCAGATCCTAAGCTTCCCCCTAGGCATGTGAAGTCCCTGTAAGCTGGCCTGGCACAAGGGCTGGGCAACTTGAGACCAACTGGTGTCTGACTGACCCATCAGTCACACAAAGGGTGAGGCAGGACAGAGGCCTATTGAGATGAGAAGGTGTCCTCAAGGCCACACAGCAAGAACTGAGGATGTCTGTGCCTGGGTGAATGAGGAGTAAGAACTACATGTGTTCCATGGTGGGTGTGACAATTCAGCATGCAGATGGAGACCAGGGCTTGAGTTCAGTCCTTCCCCCTCCTCCTTTTGTCTCTGATGCATGAGAGACAAAGCCAGAGGCAGATACTAAACCAAATAAAGATGACGTAGGTGACTGTAGAGCTGCCTGGGCTTAAACCCCAATTCCAGTCCTTACCAAAGCCAACCTTAGGCAGGTCACTTACCTCTTTATGCCTCAGTTTCCATATCTGTAAAGTGAGGTGATGAGAGTCACTATTACATGTTTGCTAGGAGAATTACATGAGGCTTAAGTCAATACATATGAATGCCTGTGATCAACTTTAACTGGAAAGTTGCAGAAGCATGTCAGATACAATAAGCTTGGATCTGTTCATAGGCTTTTTAAAGAAACAGCATCTGAAAATGGCCCGTTGCTTGTGCTTAGCCAATGTCCATTCCCTTTCCTTATGATGAAGTCATATTTAAGAGTCAGGCTCCTCCACCTTTGAGTCATTTGTACTATACTGTGCTCCTCACAGCCCTGTGTTCCCCCTCCTTGACTCAGCTGTACACTAGGCATTCAGCCTGGCTGGTGTGGGTGGCACATGGCATGCATTCCAGAGCCCTTTCTTATTTATGGGCCTCTGGGTGGGGTGGAAGGGATGGCATGTGACCACTCTGTAACCTTGGCCAGGTCCCTACACTTCTCTGGGCCAAATCTTCATCCCTAAAATGGATAATACTCTTGCCCTTTCACCCCTCAGAGGTGACTGAGTATGAAATGAATTTAGCCTCCTACAGAGGAGCTGTGACGATATTATGATCATGTCTCTGGGATGGAATAGACCATTCAGACCAGCTGGGGAGAAAAATGGGCTTCCCAGAAGGGCATTTTGCATTTGTCCATATATCCCAAGCCACAGCCTCCAGTGTAATCATTCACTAATCTCGCCCTGCCAGAGGAGGAGGGTAAGCAGGCTTGAATATGCAAGGCAGCCAAATTTAGCCATGGGTTAGGAGCCTGGCTAATGCAGGAGGTGGAAGGTGGCCAGAGACTGTGGGAAGGGAAGGACTGCATTACCCACTGCCTGAGGTGACGCTCTGGGCTCTGAGCTCCAGCCAGTCTTTCCTGTGTTCAGAAGCCCAGGATGGGTACAGACAATACATTTCCTTTCTCTACAGTGAGCTCTGGGCTCCAGGAAAGGGGAGCACTCTCGGAGGAACCAGGTAGCAGCAAAGAGCAGTACTATGGAAGTCATCCTCTCCCCCATCTCCAAAGTAAGGTTGAGGAAAGGCTCCAGACAGGCCCCTGGGTTTATTAAGGACAGGACTGAGGCCACCAGCAGCACTTCCTATGGGTTAGAAGATGCTTCCGTTCATAATTCATCCCAGCCTTTCTCCTGCTGGAGTTCAGAGTCTGCCATGGGGGTGGGGTGGGCAAGACTAAAAGAATGCATTGAACTCTATAGGGAAGGGAGGCAGCCAGGGAAGGAAGAAAAAAATCTGGGCCCCTGAGTGAACACCAGGGAAGACAAACCCCCTGAGAGCAGAGTCTGCACAGTCTCAGAGTTCTGGGGTGTGCCTTCAGAAAATTTGTTCAGGCCTTCTACACCCAGAGAGCCTGTGTGCTCTCTTGGGGTAGTATTTTCCTTTCCCTCAGTCAGGGAGGAGAAAGAGGGTAGTCACAGCATCAATGGTGCTCCTCACATGGAGCCCAGAGCCCATAGCCAGACAGCTAGAAAACACTTGCCCTCTCCAAGGCCTGATGCAGAAAGGAACCACGGAAGCCCCCACCCCACCCCACGTAGGCAGATGCGCTGTCCTCCCTGCTAGAAACACCTTGACAAGGTTCATTTCCAGAGACCACTGTGGGAAGCTGGTGGAGACAGGCAAAGCATGCTGGGGGCGGGGGGAACATTTGGAATACTCCCTAAGCTCTTTGGTCCCTTCCTCTTAGTGTAGGCTGCTTTCCAAGCCATTCATCCATTCAGCAACTCTTCATGGTTCTCTGACCTAGTCCAACAAAGATAATTTGAATTCCACACCCAGTTCTGGGTGCTCTTTCTCAATGTAGCATATCTGTGTATGGTACTGGCATCCAGCCTGTGTGCTGAGAGATGTCCCATGTACTCCAGGGTGTGCACAATATCCTGGAACACACATGCATATGGGTGACTGGCAACAGATGTACTCCAGAGCTGGTGCCATGGAAAGGAAATGTCCACTGATTGGCCAGGGACCGGCTGATGCTCTGATCTCCAGGGCCAGGGATGTAGGGAGAAAGGGACAGGCAGGGAAGGGAGGCTGAACAGGGAAAACAGTAGGGGTGAGACAGTTTCAAATTCTTGCTCTCTAGTCCTGACCCCCACTATGGCTCCAAGCTGGAAGATCAGTCATAAAGACCCCAGTCCTGGTCTGGCCCTGTAGATTCTGAGAAAGTAGACAGGACTAGCCAACCTTCATTACCTGGAAGAAAAGCCCAGGTATAACCTGGTCTTCCTGTGGGGAGTCCTGGGACTGGAGAAGAGCAGGCTGCCTACCACAATGGGACCCCAGTCTGAAGAAGCCTAAATATGAGCCCAATGGCCACCAGTCTAATGAGAGTGAGGAGAGGAAAGTCCTAAAGGTTGGTGCTGATAACAGCTGAGCCCAGCGGCTACATTTCCACCATCCTGTTCCCAAAAGAAACCAGGATCTGGAGACATGGTTGTGCTTATGTTACAGTGGCGGCTGGCCTGCCTGCTCTGCCACTAATAGTGAGCAAAGCCTAAGATACAGCCAGGCCCAGGGAAGAGTTGGGTTATAAATAGGCCCAGAACCAGCTCTTCCGGGGAGATTGGGTTGCACAGCAGAGGGTGGAGGGAGATCTTTTAAGGGATCCAGAAGAGAAGAAAGATATTGGTCCTGTCGTCTTTGGCCTAGCTCAATGCCACCCTGGGCTCAGCTTACAGGCCATCTCAAAGGCTGTTTCCCTCTGAGTCTCCCCTCTGCTTGGATTCGTATCTTTCCAATATTCAATGTCAGTCAAGTAGACCTAGGCAATCATGTTTCTGGCTTCCAGGCTCTCTTTGCCCCCACCCTGCCTGGTCCCCAGCGGTGTGTCCTCGAACCCCATCCAGGCCGCTCCTACCTGCAAACACCGCGGAGCAGTAGGCATCACTGATGTCGGTGTCCGGGGTGTGGACGTTCTCAGCATAGAGGATGAAGACCCGCAGCATCGCGAAGCAGGCGCTGGAGGACCAAGGCGCGGCCCGCGGGAACTCTCACCAGGAACTGCTGCTCAGATCGCTGGTCGCCGGCTCACAGGTGCGGCTCTGAGTGGACAGCCCCAACCCAGGCGGCCCCGGAGGGCTAGACTCACCCCCGCCCCCGACTGCTTCACCCCGCTGGTCAGAGGGCGAGGCGAGAATAGGGGCTTCTGTTCATGTCCCACCTCCGCAGCCCTACCGGGGATGCATGGAGCTCTAATTCAGTGCCCCGGCCTCCGGCTTTTCCAATGACACGGCACTTTGCACTAGACCGCGTAGCTGCGGGCTGGGCGGTGGCCGCAATGGCTCGAGGCTGGAGCAGGGCTCCCAGCGTCCTGCGCAGCCCAGTCTAGGACAAGAGAAACCTTGGCTCGTCCCCTGACTTTCCACCTCGGGCGAGAGCTGCGCGGAGCGGGTCGCCCGCTCTGGCCACCGGGATCGGGTAACTATCCAGAAGCCAGTCCGACCGCCCTGGGTAGGAAGAGAGATCCAGGGAGAAGCGCTAGGAGCAGGCGCACCTCAGGCTCTCTCGCTCAGAGCTTAGAATTTCATTGGTGGACTGCGCAACTGCCTTAAAAACTTTGCCTCCTTTCCTGATTGTAAAAGTAACACATGCTGGGCCGGGCGTGGTGACGCACGCCTTTAATCCCAGCACTTGGGAGGCAGAGGCAGGCGGATCTCTGTGAGTTCAAGGCCAGCCTGGTCTACATAGTGAGTTCCAGGACAGCTGGGGCTACAGGGAGACCCTGTCTCAAAAA